AGGGAGAATCTGAAAATTAAATAAAATACAGGATGTTTCATTTAAAATAAGGAAGTAAATACTGGTTCCGGAATAACTGAAAAAAGGGCAACATTGGCGATAACATTTCCAACTCCACCACATTTTGAAATTACCCTGTACATGAATTCAAAAAATCTAAGGAACGGTTACCGAGATACTCACCCGTTTCCATTTTCATACTTTTGCTCAACCCTGTATACTACTATAGCTGAAGCACCTCGAAAACGTAATAATACAGCTCACAAATCGATTCAGAAAAATGTCTTCTTTACCTAGTTATACAGGGTGTCCTCTAAAGAGAGGTCAATCCATTAACCACATATTCCTTGAACAAAAACAGTATGAGTTTCTGAATACCATTTTTCATTTTAGCCCTTCATATTCGATATACAGGGTGTCAAAGTTGGAAATTAAAAACTGTTTTTTTTTTCAATTACCCTCGCATTTAATGAGATCAATTTCAAAATTGGTACATTACTTCAGCACAAAGAGTTACATGGTGTGAGGGAAACATAACAGAAAATAACTGTCAAATATTCAAAATACTGGGGGTCAAGTACACACTTACCCCCATATTTTTTTGTACGAGCGCTAATGACTTCCTATCTAATTTCGATTAAATCATTTGTTTTTAAGATAATTCGAAAAGTACTGGTTATTGTTTGATGCCTCGCGGCTTACGGTAATCTCATAATGTTCACATACTCCTATTAATTTCGTCGAAATTGGAAGAAGGGGTATCTTTTTACGTACGAAAAGGTAAATATGGAAATACCGGGTGCTCAGAGCAAATGTACTAAAATAATTAAAAAAAAAAATTAAAAAGTGTAAAAATTATTTTAATACCTTCGCTCTGAGCGACCCGGTATTTCCATATTTACGTTTCCGTACGTAATTAGATACGCTCTCTTCCAATTTCGACGAAATAAATAGGAGTATGTGAACATTATGAGATTACCGTAAGCCGCGAGGCATCAAACAATAACCAGTACTTTTCGAATTATCTTAAAAACAAATAAAATCGGAATTTTACAAAAATAAAAAAATACTCAAAAATGATTGAACACTTGAAGAAAAATAGATAGGAAGTAATTAGCGCACGTACAAAAAAAATATGGGGGTAAGTGTGTACTTGATCCCCAGTATTTTGAATATTTGACAGTTATTTTCTGTTTTGTTTTCCTCACACGATGTAACTCTTTGTGCTGAAGAAATGTACCAATTTTGAGATTAATATCTTATTAATTACGCGAGTAATTAGAAAAAACAGTTTTTAATTTCCAACTTTGACACCCTGTATATCGAATAAGAAGGGCTAAAATGAAAAATGGTATTTAGAAACTCACATTATTTTTGTTCAAGGAATATATGGTTGATGGATTGACCTCCTTTTAGCGGACACCCTGTATAATTACTTTCATTTTTCAAATACATAGATATCACATTTTTTCGATCCAGAAGCCATGTTCAAATTCTGTTCTTACTGCTGCATAAAATCCTGCGGAGATTTTGTGAAAATCACTTTGTGACCTGACCTGTTAAAAAGACGTTCAGAAGGATGCATAAGTATAGAGAGAAGGATTAAAACAAGACAATTCTCAATTTTATTCACAAATATTCAATGAATTACATTTCATCTTCATAGAAGACAGGTCAGTCCTGAAAAAAATAATTATTAGGCGACACAATACTTAGAAAACATGAGTGAATCATTTCCATAAAGTTTTCAACATAGATCAATATGTTAGCCATGTTTTGAACAAGGCAGTCATTAAAAAAGTGAAAGATTGAATGAAAAGAAGGAACATCGAGTCAAAAAAGTCATACTTGAAAAATAATTTATGCAAGTCAAAATGTTTACGTCTTCCATAAAATATTCCAATACACATAAAACTTTTTCGTCTGCCTCGAAAAATCTCATGCAAAATGAAACAACTTAAATAATATCAAAATAATTTATTAGTCATAAGCTCTAAATTTGCACACATAAGGGACAATATTTACATTCAACGGAAAATCTACAGTAGAAACTAAGCCTAACTCATTTTTTTGTGAAAATATTTCTTAAAAATATTTCATACATTATCACAGTTACGTTCTCAGTTAACATAAAAGAACATTTAATTTAGATGTTGATGCGTAAAATCGACACACTCATATCTGTTTGTTCATAATACGATAAAATAATTCAAATTATAAGCGATATTCTTCTTACCAACTCAAGAAAAATAAATTGATATCACATCAATTGTAGCTCAGTTTTGAATAATAAATTTGAAAATAAGGTTAAATCCATTCAACACGCCATCTCCTTACTGGTCAAGTTAGATAATTCAGTGATTGTCATCAGTGACTTTGTGAAAAAATCTTTGGGACAAGTTAAGGTTTCAGCAGTGTGAAATTTTATATGAACACCAAAGAAGATCAGGATATAAACGTGTGTATCATCAACTCACACAGGTGTAGGAAAAAATGACCGGCATATGAGATTTTCGATGACGAAAATTTCCATAGCCAGATTGACCTAAAACAATTTCATTACATAAAGTGTACATACGCCAATAATTATCAAAAATTGCCCATGAAACATAAAAATAATACTGATAGTTGATGATAACTGAGTTACCTAGTACCTTTGTCTAACTCGGTTGGTCTCCATATTAAAAAAGAACAAAGAGGTAAGAAGAGTATTACTTCCAAATTGTACTGCCGTCCTAAGCAAAACCCCCATAACTTATAGAAATAGAATTTTTACCGCATTTTCCTTATTCAATATATTTCACTTCAGTAAACACTTTGTATATCACTTGCAAAATGGCAAGTTTTTACACGTGAGTTTTAACTGTTACATTTTTATCGATTTAATAACACATTCTATACAGGATAATACTTATTAGGACCGAAACTGTATTCAAGTAGTCAACAACAAAATTTCTAAGTTTGATACATTCACTATATTTTAACTTAATTGATACGAGAGTTCTGCTGAGGACGACACATACTGAAGGAAAACATTACAAACGACTAGAATGCGTATCGATAATACAGGTAAACATTTTCATTTTCGTCGCTTGGCGCCATTAGAGCGTGAGGTACTGAGGTATATGTCAAATTTGTGCTATAGTAATTCCAAACCCAAAAGGCCAGACGTCAACACTGTACACTGTAGCATGCAGTGATCCATAATCACACATCCAGATCGTGATTACCATATATCTACTATATATATGAAGCATAGCTGTCCTCAAAGCGGGACCAACTTCTGCCTCTATAGAATGATGGAAGTAAGATATGGTGCGCGTATTCGGCCATTATTACGTATTGAAAATTTCAGAAAAATCACTCGACCGCCTACTATGATTTCTCTACGTCACAACGAGCGAAACGTTGATTCTACATTTTCCAGCTAGATGGTGATGCTGCTGTTGCTGCTGTGACGAGTAGAAATAAAATGGCAAATGGCATTTTAGGTACGCGGAACATATGTAACAGTGGGATTATTCAACACTGAATTCGAAAAATCTGCGACAATTTCAAAACCGACAGATGTCATAATTGTGCAATGTCGCCATCTATTAGAAGATCGACGGAACCATTGCTCTCGCTGTTCTCGAGAGGTCGAGTAAAATTTCTGAAACAAAAGCGCATCAGTAATTACACCACATCTTACTTCCATCATTCTCTATAGGTAAAGAAAGCGGCCAATAGGCGTTGATGCCGACGTAGGGATAAAATAATACGAAACTTGTTAAACCAATATGGCTACGAATTTCAAATTTTCAAATTGGTTTTATGTGATTGATTGTGATTGAAATTCGAATATTTGTGGTTTTAGTTTAGTATAATTCTTTGGTGTTTGTGTTTTCGTTTATTTTTCATAGACTGAACTTTTTCAACCATGTCTAGTGGAACGAAATGCAGTAAGTTTGAATTTTCAAATTTTCTTGTTTATATATTGACCTGCACAAAGATACATACTCATTTACATTATCAATGGAGTTATCAATCATCCAGCAACAAGCATGAAATTATGGGAATTTCTTTAAAGTAAACCAAGTTTGAATCAGTAAATGGCAAGTAGTGTAGTGTAGTCCTATCAGGCTTAACAGATTTGGGTAGATCATTTTCACCACATTGAAAAAGAATACATGAACCTAGGTTAACCATGACCTATATTCAATATTCAATACCAAGATCTGAAGCAATAATGTTGGATTAAAGGGTGTGAGTTTCGAGATTCCACCGAACTGAATGAAATCATTTTCGCAGTTCAATTCATTATCATCTGCAATGGCTCTCTCCTGTTCCTCAAAGTTACTGACATTATGCTTTGCTATATTTTAACCACATTATAAAGGAATTAATCGAAGTTGACGGTATTATACTGTGGTATTTTCAATATTTTATCATGATCAAATTATTTACGAATCTAACCTAATTTAAAATCTGATCCTCGCGTCAGCAGTTTCCATCCTTCTCTTTCCGTCCGTATAGATTCAAAAAGAACCTTTCATTTTGGTCCCATTTTTGTTGAGATATCGTATAGGCGATGCGCCATATATAGAAATAGTAGATATATGGTGATTACTAATGCGGATCTGCAGTCGGTACCAGTGTTGCCAACTCAGATTCCCAAAAGTCGCAAAATGACCACCTGAGAAACACCAAAAAACCACCAAACCTAACGGAATCGAAAAAAAAAATGCGCCGCAGACGAACACATTTTTGCAAATCTAGTGATTTTCTGGTGGTTTTAACTTCAGTTTAGTTCACTAGATAATACCAGATGATGGAAGTCTAGCTGGTCAACGGATCTTGGCTTACAGATATATAAAGAAATGTGAAAAAAAAATTCTAACAGAAAACAAAACTAACAAAGCAATTGCTGCATAATTATTATTATTATTATTATTATATTATTATCTATGACATAGTTATATAATATATGTTACAAAACACAGTCATGTGGACATAACCATTAGAAAGAAATTTCAGTTGAAACTGGTTTCTTTGTTCCATATTTTTAACATTAGCTTTTTCATTGAAACAAGGAGAATTTTGGATGCAGGTCCTGAACCACCAGAATTTACGATTTATTTGAAAAAATTCACCAAAATAAACACCATCCACTAGATGCCATATTTTGTCATAAAACGAAAACTCAAACCACCAGTTCTACTGTGAAATCCACTAAGTTGGCAACACTGTCGTACACCCCTACTCTCGCCTACAGATATGGAGTTCCTGGCACTTTGACCAATAAAAGAGTATTTCAAATACGATCACGCGTTAGTCAGTTTGTTTACCGCTGGCCTCTTGGATTTGGATATACTATAGACAGTTGATAATCATCATCAATTTTATATTGCGACCAAAGATACATCTCGAAGATGATCAGTGTTCAGTAGCGCCACCTGGCGGCCAAGCAGACTAATGTTATCCCGCCATCGTCGAGAGTACAAGGCAAAAAATACACACATCAGCTCTAACCAAATAACATCAAGTGCGCTCAACGTCGACATAACCTACCATCCACATCGCTAATGTCATGAGAAAAAAGTTCATCCATTTACGGGACCGAATTGGATCTCATGAAGCTTGCGCATACGGGGGTTTTCAACGAAAACTTCAGCCTCTAAAATTAGGAAGTTAGGAGTTGCTAGGGGTAAGAGGAATCGGGGGTTTTTATAGGAAAAGCATTTCAAAGATAGGAGATTTGTCATTTAAATGAACCATTTCAACAAAAATCGACTATCTGAAGGTTACAAAATAGATAGTAGGTTATATCGGCAATGAACTCCAACTTATACAGAACTGGAAAGGACCATCAGGGGGACATCAGTTACTTTCTTTTTGATGTTGAGCTACTCCCAAATAGAACGCATTTCAGTGAAATTTTACAATGAAAGAAACTGGGCATGCGCTCTTATTGTTTACCTTCAGGAAATATTGAAATATAGCCAATCTATCTTGATAATGTCGGATTCTGTGCTATTTTGATACATGAAAAAACAAAATAATCATTGAACAACCAAAATAGCTTGTCACTTGACAGTGACCGAAGGGTAGGGGAAGGTAGATGGTGTAGTACTGTGAAGCTCAGGGGCTTCAAGCACTCACCAAAAAGAACGTGTTCTTGCCCATTTTTCTTGCTCTGGAGTAGCTCCAGAGATACCCACACAGTGAAATAGAAAGTGCCGATCAAGTGTGTGTGTTTCGAAGCTTCAAAGAAAATATTCTGATCTACAATTCTCAAGCCTTCTGTTAATCCCACCATATGTGGTATTGTTCCTTGATAGAGGTGAACCGCATTTGATTACAGTCTCCTCTTTGTATTTAATTTAATTATGTAATATGTTCGTCAACTTTCCCACTTTTGCAACATGTGAATATACAATTTTCCCCAGAACAGTACTCCTAGGTAGTCAAAACATGTCCTAATTGTTAAAATAAAGCATAGTTTTGGTGGAGTTGACCGTATGAATTTCTCCCACTCTATTGTCCTCAGTCCACTGTGAGATTTTTTTTAGATGAATCACCTCAGATGGTGAAAGATTGATATCCTACACTTGCGAATTGCCTGTTATCTTCATAGAAATGATATTATATACATATACTGACACTAGAATGGGGATTGTCCCCATCAACTTTCACAGCAAAAGGCGTGTCGCACATGCGACTTGTTTATTGATGTGAGCATGCTCAGTTTTAGTTTCCTTGAACTACAACGTTGCCAGATTTTCAAAAGAGTTATTGATGAAACTATTATAGAAATTTAGTTCATGCTCTCCTAGACGAAAAAAAAAAAAAACGATACAAGACTAGATATTCAACATGTTTTGTACAGAATTGTGAACGTAAATAAATACTGTGCCATCATTTTGTATTTGGACTATTCTAAATTTGAATCCGATGAGAAAGTTAGTTGATAACCATCAGCTGAGTTAGGCAACCTTGACACTGATTCCTGATGACAACAGGCATTGTTCGTTTTCATTCGCATTTTGCAGAGACGGTTTTAATTTCGAATTTTCATATTACTTTTTCGATAAAGATCCTTCACATTTTTTACATCGCTCTCTTGCTGATTATCTTTCCAGTAGGCAATAGTTTTGTTAGTTTTGTATATATTTGTTTGAAAGCTGATGGATTTAAGAAGTGCTTGTGATCGCAGTTGCCAGAAGTATTCTTTCTGTACAAAATCAGCATAAACAATGAGTTCTTCTTCAGTGTTATGGTCCAAGAAAAATTGAAGAGATCCCACAACAGAGCACTTGAGTGATAAAAATGCTATATGCAATACCTACTGAGGGAAATATTAGGATGTATATAAAATCAAATTCACTCCCACAAATAATGTACCATTATATCCATCATGAAAGGTTTAACATAATAAAATTGGAATAATATCATAGAAAAGGCACTAGCAGAGAAAAATATAATGGTCCAGTTGGTTGAATCAGACCAATTTCTGAATCATTGTTTATGTAAGTTTGAACGTTTTGTTCAAATTTTCCTAATTCAGTAACCTGTAAGATATTCATTGTAATTGCTGATGAAGATGTCGGACAGCTGATTTGAATATTCTGATATTTATCCATCACATTTGCATCCTTAATCTTTTCACTTCGGGAACCAGATAAATACACACTAACTTTTTTGGGTTAACGGCGGGAAGCGACTGTACACGCGATTATAATTGTGTTTTGTGTTGCATATAGATGGTACTCTGTCGCTAGACGATTACAAAAAGTTTCACAACCCTAGCGCTTCACTGCGGGAACGACTTTGGACGTGTTGGTTCTTGAAAACTCGAATTCATGTTAGTTTGGCTTGTGGCAACAGTTCGTCTCGATGTGACCTCAAGACTTCACAGTAATTCAGTTTTTTATGGTTCCCGGGAAAACAGTGTCAGACACATGAAAAAATGAATAGCGTATTATTATAACTTCATCGAATGAGTTGTTCCAATATTTCATTTGGAAATTATGAGAGGGTTAACTCCAAGTATTTCATTATCGAAATGAAAGGTTTTCCAAATTCTCTAGAAAATTCTGAGTACGGCTCTGGATCAATTTATCGGTTCCCTGCGGGAACCTTATATGTTCACGAGATTATTTCCCCACATAACTGCGGGAACCGCGTTGATCAGCACCAGCCCAGAACAGCCGTAAAAAAGACCAGAATTATTCAAAAACGCTATTCGCAGTGCAAAGGTTAATAACAGCTAGCCCTGTTCAAAATGAACCAAATTCTGCACATGCGAATTAACGATGGGCCCACACTTTTGATCTATTGCATCGGCATCCTAGTCTCAGTATTTATTATACAGAGTGGGCATTTGAAAACGAAACAGAGGCTCTGTAGGTCGCCAAAACCGGATTATGAAAAAAATCTGAAACACGTCAACTACATTTTCGAGGGGGACATCGTACTACAATATTTTCAGCCCTGCGGCGTTGCCGCTGCTAACGAAAAGAAGCAACAACTTTGTTATTTCAAATGGAACACCTTGTATTTTAATGCATTTTTAGATTCTCCCCGAAGAGCTGATTTCATCAATGCATCACACTTGGGGTCTAGCTGTAATGGTTTCAGGGATATAAAGTGTTCAAAATCGAGATTTTTCAACTTTAACATTTTTTTGTGTCGAAACTGTTCATTATTGGTCAAAACGACTCCCATGTCCCTATCTCAACTTGTGATTCACTATCTACTAACATTCAATTGGAACAGATACAGGGTGATCAGAATTTTGAATCTTGAACCACCCTGTATTTGTTTCAAATAAATGTCAGTAGATAGTAAATCACAAGTTGAGATAGCGACATGAGAGCCGTTTTGACCAATAATGAATAGTTTCGACACAAAAAAAATGTTAAAGTTGAAAAATCTCGATTTTGAACACTTTATATCCCTGAAACCATTACAGCTAGACCCCAAGTGTGATGCATTGATGAAATCAGCTCTTCGGGGAGAACCTAAAAATGCAATAAAATACAAGGTGTTCCATTTGAAATAACAAAGTTGTTGCTTCTTTTCGTTAGAAGCGGCAACGCCGCAGGGCTGAAAATATTTCAGAAAGATGTCCCCCTCGAAAATGTAGTTGACCTGTTTCAGTTTTTTTTGATAATCCGGTTTTGGCGACCTACAGAGCCTCTGTTTCGTTTTCAAAGGCCCACTCTGTATAGTTCCTTTGGTCATCTCCTTCCAGTTCTGTAACTCGCAGTTCACTGCAAATCACCGATGGCGCTCACTTCTTCAGAAACCTACTCACGTGATCGCCGCTCGTCGTTTGATGCTGCTGCTGCTGCTGCGGCTGCACGTTTTGCACGCTCACCGCCACGATGGGCGTGCCGTTCGACGTCTGTATGCGCACCGGGCTGCCCTGGCGCATGCCCGCGTTCTGCCCCAGCGCTGCAGACACCTGCGAGAGCAACGTGGGCTGGCCTTGGCCCGCCCCCTGGACCTTGATGCCGGCGAGGGCGCCGGCTAAGGTCGAGGTGCTCGAGGGGCGCAGGGCGGTGTTCAGTTGCGACGTGGCGGCAACGACCTGTTAGAATGTTGGGATATTGTCATTCTAAAATAGAAACATACCCGATTTTTCCTCGAAGTTAACCATACAAACCAGGTCAACAATAAGTTTGAACCCACCACGCAAAACAAGCTCACTGAGGTAGTTCACGAAGTAGTCAAGGCTTTTGATTGGCTTGTTGTTAAAAGCTGAGGATATAATTGATGAGAAAAAATAATTACACTTTTAATGAAGTAATTATGGATTTATAGGAAATATTTTTTTATGAAAGTCTCATATTATTGACGAAAACGAAATAATTGATTCATTGTAAATAGATACGTAGCAAATTGATTCAATTTTCTAAAATTTGAACCTAGTTCCTATCTATGATTTTGTCACATTAATATATTTATACAGGCTGATTCACGGTGGATGGCACATTAGACGTTTCTGGTGAACCAGACAACGGATCATTTTGAAAATTCAATGGAGGGCATATTCGGACATTCTCTAGTCAACTGAAATATTTTCGACAATGCATTGTTGCCGCTTCTATTAGAAAGCAGTATCAACTTTGATTTTTCAAATGGAACACTCTGTATTTTATTGCATTTTTAGAGCTGATTTCATCGATGTATCACACTTTGGGTCTAGCGGAAATGATTACAGAGATATAGGGTGTGAAAAATCGACATTTTTCAACTTTAGGATTTTTTTGTGTCGAAACTATTCATCATTGGTCAAAACGGCTCACATGTCCCCATCTCAACTTTTGATTAACTATCTACTGATATTTAATTGGGACATATACCGGGTGATCAAGATTCTGAATTCTGCACCACCCTGTATTTGTTTCAATTAAATGTTAGTAGATAATTGATCAAAAGTTGAGATAGGGACATGTGAGCCGTTTTGACCAATAATAGTTTCGACGAAAAACACACCCTATATCTCTGTAATCATTTCCGCTAGACCCCAAGTGTGATGAATCGATGAAATCTGCTCTTCAGGAAGAATATAAAAATGCAATAGAATACAGAGTGTTCCATTTGAAGAATCAAAGTTGCTACTGCTTTCTAATAGAAGCGGCAACACTGCATTGTCGAAAATATTCTAGTTGACTAGAGAATGTCCGAATATGCTCTCCATCAAATTTTCAAAATGATCCGTTGTCTGGTTCACCAGAAACGTCTAATGTGCCATCCACCGTGAATCAGCCTGTATATATATAAATATTCTTGGAAATATTAGTGGGATACAGTCTGGACCAATGAATTAATTGAATTTCTTCGTTATTTGTCGAGCTTTCGAAAATTTTTATTTCCTTTATCAAGACTAAATGAAAACATCGAATGGAACAATAATATTAAAATATAAATGTACATCAATTGAAATTGGTATACTTACAATTATGAAATTCTATATAAAATTAGCGAAGATTACAATTTTCTTCACCCCACACACCCCTACTTTGAAATCTCAAATGGCACCCCCTACTTTGAGATACATAAAATTGAAGGTCTATCAATATCAATGATTAAATCAACCAGGTGAAAAAATATTTATTCCGTATACAGGGTGAGTCATGAGGTACTGTACATACTCCTACCACGAACAGAGGCCCCTGAGGGGAATATCGAATGGCCATTTGGAGTTTTCCCTCCTCTAATACACTAATGAACAGGGTGATTTATAGGATTGAGCGAATGCAGACAAATCAATCGGGAAACGTTTCAAAAAGTTCGTGAAGAATTCGAAAATAGGCTGTACTATTGTCTAGAGAATAATGAAGCACATTTTGTGCAATTGCTTTGAATATCAATCTGAAAAATTGCATTTCTTCTCAGACACGATTCGTCAAAATAAATCATTCTATTTGGTTTTGAAAAGAACTAGTAATAGTAGAGTGCCAAACGAACCGTAAGTCGCTTAGATCAAAAGTTGGTGGGAAATCGGAGGTAAAAAGCTGTGACATGGCTAGAATTGTTACCTACCATCTCCAGATCATGGATCCACTTGTCGTCAAAAAATTGTCCTGTGCGTTTGGGGGGTAGGGGGTAATTTATAAAAAAAAATGATTTTTTTTTTATTCATGGAAAATATTGATGGGTACTAGAACTTCCACCTTGTCGAATCATGATTTCGTGTGACAAGTAGAACAAATTATAGAAAATTTTGAAATTCACCAATTACATTACGATATATGAGAAGATCATATTTCAAACGGCTATAACTCGAAACTTGTAAATTTTCGTTAAATTGCTTTTCATATACCTCGCATTATCTCAGTAACTATAACGTTTATCAATAAAATACTCAAAATAATGTCGATGCGTCTATGTTTCAAGATGCGAATGGTTCTTTGATTTTGAAAATCGAAGCATAAATAAGGAAGATATTGGAAAAATCATAATACAATGCAGGTAGTATGAAGGACGGCGACTCGCCGCTTTCATACCCCGATTCTCCCCGCAACGCCCGCAGCCGTCATAGAACGATCACCGTAAATATGAATTACTGAGTGTTACAGAATAGTACGATCTTGGAATTCACGTGAGAAATGGAATTGATCGCTATTATCCAAGTTAACAGAAATTTATTTTAACTTGCTTTTTGATTGGAAGTGCCCTCCATTTATTTTATGAATGATTCTATCTCGAAAGTACATTTCTTATCCATCAGAGTACAATGTCAACCATCTCATTTATAAACAAATTGACAAATATTGAAACAAAACATGATGCATATAATATTGCAATAAAAATAAGATATCCATGTGGAAACTTGAAACAAACATTATTTGATACCTATCGAATTGCGAAGTTGTAAATACACGTAAATACGATATAGTGTCCACAAGAACACAAATAAGCTATGATAATTTTTTTCCATCATGTCTCTTGATGAATCATTATTCCCAAACCAACGTGTTTCGGTGTGAGTTTTTTGAATTTCGAATTAGCGAGTATTATACCTTGACATCAGATACTCAACACCTTTGAATCAAATGAATCAACTTTATCGTGTATAAGGCAACTAATTTGAAAAAAGTTTTTTTGGTATCATATCCTTGTAAGCCTTGACATCCATATTTTTGAGTTGTTTATAATCTGGAATATCTCTCATATCTTGATAAATATCTCAATAAAATTTGTGTATCTCCTCGTTTCTCTGGACGTTTCTGGAACGAATCTGTTCCCGTTCTCAACATGAAAATGCAAAACATTTTTCTTTGGAAGTTGCATTTTCATGTTGTGAACGGGAGCAGATTCGTTGCTGAAACGTCCAAAGAAACGAAGAGAGAAAATCCCAAAAAATCGAGTAAAATGAATGTTTCACCTTCTCGATTAAGACGAACGATTCACCGCACTCGCCTGGCGTTTCTAAGAGATGTCGCTACGGTTAACAAACTGTGATAAACATGAATAAAAATCCAACATCGAGAAACCGATGTAGAATTCTCTTGTTTCTTCATGTTGACGATGTTAGTATTATAAAGATTTTCAACAGGTGTCGCTTCAAATATTTATAGTGCCCTGATACCTAATTATTTCCACATTAATAAAATTATGCAAATGAGTTTTCAATCTAATATAATCCTAAATTACATTCGATTTGATTGAGTGTCGAATTTTCGGATGCTCCTTCCATTTTGGGTTCAAATCCGAAGCGCATTCTTTCCACGAACCTGTATTTTTACTTCTTTATGGCTTTGTTTTTTTATCGCGGAAGACACCGATCGAGCGACCGGTTAGTTAGGATCATGTTGTTATGAAGCTGGAAGTAAGTGTGATGACTATTGTATAGGCACTGAGGCACTATTACGGCAAGTAAAGAATACTTTACAGGGTTGGTCTAGGCGTGGCTGATGGTAGCTTCTTGAAATATTTTATTTATCTTTCGGAACGCTCGAAAGGAAATGTTCAAGGAAGAGCGCACGTGCATGGGGTAGAAAGGGAGAGCAGGTAGGAAATTGAAATTGCTTTGAATCTTATTTGGATATGAAAAATAATCGTAGATATGATAGAACACAAGTAGATAGGATCATCAAATACCTTTTTGGTATATAATAAAAAGTTTGATTATTCAATGTATTATTTAAAATTAAATTATAAAATTGAACAAAAAATATTTAATACTATTATAATTTAATATATCATTACTTCGAAATTCTAATATTCAATAAATATTATTCTTGATATCAAGGTCGAGAGAGACATCGGAACTCCTACCTATAAACCATATCTTCTTACCGTATTTCACATGTCGATATGAGTGAAGAAATCACAATATCAATATATAATATATAAAATATTCCAAATATATAGGTATTGATATTTTCCTGGATATCCATATTTTAGATATATCTGGGTGAAACGGCGGGTACTCTGAATATTTCCACTGGACATGCCTCGACAGGATATCCTTCGAATATTATTTGGATGCCCAATGTGTGGATATCTGGAAATAAAATTGCGAGACTAGACCACTCTACGGGACTGTGGCTCAGCGTCGGCTAGTTGAATACTTGCAATGATACTTGCTAAACTTGCTTATATTCATCGCGTAAAATCTTTCATATTTGATCTGTTCCACTGTGCATGAAAAAACCTATGGTCCGCAATTTTATTTTCAGATCGGTATATGGAATGCTAATGTATAATTGGGGAGAATTCAGAACTCCTAATATTCTAATAATCGTATTTTGCAAAGTAGATAAAATCGAGCTCAAAATGTGATACAAACTTGTCCAATTCAGACCAAGGTAGATACAGTGTGTCCCACTCTAAACAGCACCACCTTCGTATTTTCGTATATACTAATCGACTTCAAGATTTTTTTTTTCAACATGTACTACTCAATGATATCTACATTCCTGGATATTGAACTCTCTCATTCCTTTTGAACACAGCCACCTATGAACAAATAAAAATGCAGAAAATCAGTAAGTAATAGCAGGAAATTTTTTAGCGGAAATCTGACTACAACTCTCTAAAATACATGTGGTCAAATTTTCACAATGATATCATATACAG